GGAAATTACATATAAATCTGGCTTGAGATCTTCGCGTGCAGCTCGAGTGGTTTTAATTACCGTTTCTGGAATCCTGATTAAGATTGACGACGGGCGTAATTGGACTTAATAATATTTTAATTATGTTTTAATCGATATTCGGAGTGCAAATAAAACGCCATTGAAATCCACATAATCGGAGATTCCCCAATAATAAAACAGAAACAAGTCAAAAAATAAAAGTCACGTTCGTTTATTTCTGTGATTTATAGCAGTAATTTGAGATAATTTCTCAATATTTTATACATCATTATTCAATTCTTTCAATGAGTGGCATTTATTAGTTGTAAACTGGTTTTGATTGGAATCAAAGAAAGAAAAGTCCTCAACTTTATGGAAAGTGAATGAAATTATTAATTTTCATTATACGAGGGGTCCGAAAAAAGTTTGTTAAATTGGCATTAATTCATTTATTTCTAAGAAACAATTTTTTTTTTCTCAATTTGCTAAAGTCTAACGTATTTCATGTCAAATTTCAAGAAGATCGGTAAGAATGGATAGGAGACAATGCAAGATTAGTGATGTAAGGTTGGTAGAAATTGCACCATCGACACAGCAAAAATTAGTTTTGCCATTCTCTAAGGATTTCGACGTCAACTAAAGCCTATGCAATTTTTCCAGGAATGCTAAAATCCATATGAAGTAAATGCATCATCCCTTTAGAAAAATCGTAACAAGTGATGAATATTGGTTCTATAAATACGACCCGCAAACCAAGCAGCAGTCCATGATAAAGAGCACAAAAGGTACAAATCTCCCCAGTTAAAGCAAGAAACCAAAAATCCGCAACAAAAGTGATAATGTCGATTTACTATAACAGGACAAAAGTTGTAGATGCTATCTCACTGGAAACTAGCTAACTGCTAAGTAATACACAGAAAGTAGCTTACCACAAGTTTTCAAAAATTTAAAAAAAAATGAAAGAAAGAGTCTTCAATTCTAATGGAGAGATCATAATGTAAAACTTGAAAAGCTCCAAAAAGTCAATTTTGAGGAATGTTTTGTGGCTCTACTGACTTTGGAAATGTATTGAAATAAATGGATATTATGTAGAGAAATTACAAAAGAATAAAAATTCAACTTCTATTAGATCCCACGTATAATTAACTAAATTAATTATTACAATAAATAAAACAAAAAATCCTGAACACCAAATTTTGATACTGTAGGGATTATAGTTGTCGGGATTTCGATATTTTCAATAATAAATATTATACAATGTAATTTTGAAGCAAATAAAACTTTTGCAATTAGTTGTAATTATTTTAAATATACTCGTTGCTTATATAAGAGAACTTTCAAACGCATCGTAATCATAAAGTGTTGATTTTAGATATAATTATGAACTAAAATCGCCTCCATTCCGAATGCAGCCGATTCAATAAAGTGCATGAATACGTAATGAACGCGATGACAATAAGTGCAAAATGAACAGTTTTCTCGCCTCGTTATCGTCGCAGCATTCCATTTTGTTACATACAAAGAACATAGTATAAAATCTTCTTAATCGTCTGGGTAATAGCAATAATTTTTCAGCTCTAAAATATTCATAATTTATTAATAAAATGTAAACTAACTTACGAGTTTCTTGTCAAATAAAGAGATTTTAACGAGAAGATTAAAAAAAATAAATAAATAAAAAGTTTATAAGTGTATAACAACAAAAGAAGAAGCTAAAACTCATAGTTTATGGCATACAAAAACGAAGCTAAATTCCCATTAAGCCTCCTCTTTATTCTCTTCCTCGCAATAAATTGTGTACTTAGCTATCTGGAATCTTTACATCTAGGAATCTACTTGAAACCAGGGCAGATAATATGTTAATAACATATACAGACCCATAAGAGGCTATTACGAGAATGGAAAAAGCTGATCACCATAAATAATTCAATCTATTCTCAGAGCAGCGATATTTCAAGTCATTATCGACCCAATTAATCCGAACGCGATCAATAAAATACAAGCAAAACTAAAAATATGCTTTAAAAAGAAAGACAATTCCATTTAATTCGGTTGTGATCAATTTTCTTCCGGGTTCAAAAAACTTAAATTAAATATATAAACGAATTATCAACATAAAAACAACTAAAGCATTTGCAAACATTAATATAAATGTCTTCAAATTAATACGAATTCCTAAAGCTATAATCGATGGTTTACGAAATGCGATCTGCTTGATGAGGAGATCCATTTGGTACTTGAGATCATCATCTTGTAGATCCAATTCCAAAGTTATCTCACTGCAAACATGTATGAATCCATTAGCTTCTTCAGAAACTTGATCGCAGCTTGCGAAAAGTATGATGGACAACTCCTACAAAAAATGCTATTTAAAGATATACATTACGGTACAAGCGTGTACATTTAGTTGCCTACCATAGCTATGATTCCTTCCACTAACACATGAATCTTCTCAAAATCTTTTAATAAAGTTACTTGTATAATGGCAATTAAGTTCTCAATTAAAACCATAATCAATACTAATATTGTCAATATCATTTGAGCTCCAAAACTATCACCAATTTCATCCATAATATCGCAAAACTCATGATAACATTTCATACTATTAATAAAATCTCCGCTGTAACACAAAATAATCTTGTTGTTAAACTTTTTGCTAGTTTTGTAATCACTTGAAATTCTTTGAAAATCTTGTTTTAAATCCACGAATTTATCGCGTAATGTCAGAATTAAATAATTGATTTGGCATGTTATCAATGAAGAAATTATTAGATCAATCGAAAATACAAATAAATTTAAGTTAATTTCTAGTAATACACGCACGAAAATTAATAATGAAAAACTGTAAATTTCAAACATTGTTCTTATATTAATATTTCCAAGCTTTTGCACTATTTTCACTCTCTTTCGTCTTTGAAAAATCACTGAATTGAGAACGGAAATAACATAAAGCAATAAGGAAATTAACTTTTTTACTGACAAAAAGATTTTGTCGCCAAAACGTTCGTTTGATTTATTTATTTCGAATACACTAACGATTGATATAATTCCATATATTGTAACCAAAAATAATGTATAGAATATGTAGACTACGCTTAAACCATTATAGTTCTCGATGTTTGGTATTTGTAATCCAAATATTTCGAATATTTTGTATAAAGTAACTTTGGTGAATTTAAATTTTGCTATATTAAACTTCTTTTTCAGGTGAATGTATGATTTCTTTTTCTTGAAGTTATTACACATTTTGTCTTTTAATTTCAGTATTGCGACACGCCCGAGATTTCATTCAGAAATGGTTTTAGAAAAACCACATGTATTGATGTATTGATTGATGTAATTCGTTTGAAAGGATTTTGTAATTAACTTAACTAAAATATGTAAAAAGCATTAAGAATTGTTAGAGGAAACATTATCTATGGCAGCGTTAGCATTAATTTCTATTAATTTTGAGAAAACTAATTAAAGAAATAACAACTTCAACCTATTTTATATAAGATTGAAATTATAACATTACACTGCTAATACATTTGTTTTGAATCAATTTACCATAAAATATATATAGTTGTAGATATATACACTTTGAAAGAAGTTAGTTATGAAATTTACATTTACAGTACTATTGTATGCACGTGTTTCTTTGTTTGCTTGAACATAAATTATATTAATAGGAACTGGTATTTTAAGTTTTTAAGATGTGGAGAGGGTGGTTCTAAGACTCGTGTCTAAATATAAGTATTTACGATTTTTAGTAAGCACGGTTGCATGAAGGTACTTGATGTTCATTCGTACGTACATTTTACAATTATATACATTTTGACTTAAGTAGAAATCAAATATATCATATTATTCGATAGAAATCATAAATAATTATGATTGTATTACTAAACGTACGTTGCAATGATTTACTATATGTAAGGGTTATACATATGAATATTTAATTTGCATAGGTCACATATCGTATAAAAACTATGAATATGTATTTTCTTATTTTTTTTTTTAAATATTTGTCTTACAAATTATTAATATTAATTTTTATATAAACGTGAATTTAAGTTTATTGGACGATACGTACATGTCTTTCTGTTCGCACAAACGTACACTATATTTATATATACATACATGTCATACTCAACGCAAATGTACTTTTATTAGTTAATGAATTCAAAATTGTGAATGTACGTTAATCGGACGGTAAATTTACCTTTGATAAGCATTTACAATATTTTGTACAAAAATGTCTCTTTGTTCGCGCGTACGTACTATGTCAATTTCAACGTATATCATACCTTCAGATAACGCAAATGTACAATAATTAGTTGGTGAATTCAAAATTATTTTTGTATGCAAGTGCTTCTTCGTTCACAAGTCTTATATATTCCACCTCAAATATAATCTAAGATTTGGTAGACTTTCATTATTTTTTATTGTTATTTAGGTACTATAATTGCAGCAAGTATTCAATTTTTTTTTGTATTCTAGTATTTTATCGTTCAAACGAACGCACACTATTAACGTACATCATATGTTGCGATAACATCACAATCTGACTTGAAATAATAATATATACAATGAAAAGCATTTTGAAAGGTGACTTTACTATGATTTACAATTTACATGACAACTTCTAATGAATATTAAAATCTTATATAATCCAGAAAAAACCTGCAGCTCGAATATAATTCAAGTTTTTGGTACACTTTCATTGTTTACATTATAATTATTTAGCTACTATAATTGCAGCTAATAGATAACATTCATGCATTATTTATGTCACATTCGTAAAATGAAAACATACGGCGCATGAAACCTCGCGTGACTAATTGTAAAAAAAAATAAAGTGTAGTGGATCGAAAATTAGCGAAATATTATTAATTATGAAACACCGACAATCCTCGACAACAAATTTGAATAAATTGTGTCACACATTAACAAGCTTCAGTAATAATAAAGCGTAATTTAATATATTTCATTTCCTTACAATGTTTACCACAATAAACATGCCCTACAATAGGGCTTTCTATACTTTAGCAAATTATTTGGGTATAGTGCCTGAATACGATGCCCTCAGAGGAAAGCCAAGTTCCCCCTGCAACAGAATCTACAGATTCGCTTTATTCGCGTTCACAGTTGTAGGTTCAGTGTACAATGTATATGGTGACTTCGCGTATCGCTTTCCGAATTTACAGACAAACGTCATCGTTCTGAACTGCCTCTTCAAATTCGGAACGTACTTCATTTGCACCTCAACAATCCTAGGTGCTTTATTATGGAACCAAGAGAAGTACAAGGATTTCTTCAGGATCATGAATTCGGTGGATCAAAGGCTTTACATGAAATCGAATAAGGAATCCATGAACCTGGAAACGGCCACCATCAATATCTTAATGATAACCGTTATAGTGTTGGAGATTTACGTGCAGGTTTCCATACATGGTGTGAATCTGCTCCAATACTCAATCTACGAATATTTCCAATCTTTATTTATGACCATCTCTTGTTTAGTCCAGTATAATTTCTTACTATCCGTAGTCATACGTTTGAATCATTTGAATGTTCTGCTGGAAAAGAAGTTGCAGGTTGTTGGAAATGAAGTGGAACATACCAAGAAGAAATACAAGTGGTTTACAGATCGAAGCATAGAAACAGCTCCACAAATCTATACATCAATCACTGAACTGATAGATATATTCAATAACATCTTTGGTTGGAAAATATTTTACACGACTATAAGAACAATAGTACAGATTTTATTAAGTATGAATAACATCATCATTTATGGAATCGAGAAATCTACAATAATGAGCGACTACAAATATTTTAACATAGCTGTTTACGTCCTTTGGCTTATGATGGAAATAGTGAGGAGCTTTATATAAATATTTTAATTAACACTTAAATTTCTTCATTTTAGATATACTGCGTTATTCTAGCTTCTGGAGCCAACAAAATCTTGGATAAAAGCCAAGAAACACTCTTGATTTCCTACAAGATCCTGTGTCTCCTTCCAGTGGAGACCAACTGCAACGAAAGGACAAACCTCAACTTCCTGGTGCAAGAGATATCCTTCCGACCGTTAATACTATCAGCTGCTGGCTTCTTTACCATAGATTACACAATGGTTCTTACCATCATAACATCAGTAGCTTCCTATCTAATCGTTGTAATACAATTCAATTAAATACTAAATTTAAACATTAACAATGTATAACAAATAAAGGAAGTTGTAGGCGTTGTCTGAAATATTATCAAGCATATTTTGGATCTTCTGTATTTCCAACATATCACCGAAATCCATTTTCACAATCGACTCTAAACAAAGTAATTTATTAACTTTCATTATTATTTGTATTTCAAACAAACTACTTACGAATTAAATACAACTTTATCGTTTTAAAGAAGAAAATATGTAACGCTGATGCTCTGAGACGAGTAAAGTGCGTTTACTGATTTCGATTTAAAAACACGAGTTTAAATACGCAAATGATAATGGATTTATAAATATTTATGTTTTTTTTGCATGGAATTTGCATCGACAGTTCGATATAATAAAGTAAGGAACTCAACGCTCAACAAGTTCTATAGAATTTCCATTTTTTTTTTTAAATTAATGTATTAAAATAATTGTATATATATTCACATTCTTATTATATATTCTATAAAAGTTTTACGTACTTTTCCACTATTATAAGTTAGTTAAATTTTGAATAATTATAGAATATTTGCATAAATACATTTATTAGAAATTTAACCAAAAATTATATTAAAAATAAACATATTTTTTTTATTAAAATAATGTAATTTATGAAATAATGGAAACATTTTTGTTCTTTGTACCCAATTTCCTTAAATAAAACATGTTGTTTCTTATTATCATTAAAAGATTATATTATAATGAATAATGTACAAAAATAATTGGGTTTCAAATATTGTTCCAATCGTAAATAATTAATGATGTAATTAGTGATTTAATCTTACATAATTTTTCCATTATGAAATATTTTCTTTTTTTGTAAATTTTAATCAAATTCACTTTAATTTATTAGACTAATAAATCACACAGTTTTTATTGTTATTAATAATTAATATATGTATTATTTAAGTGGATTGCACGTGTTTCCTGATTATTGTATATTAATGCAGAGTGCAATATGAATAGGACAAAAGCACCAAGCAACAAAATGAATACAAATGTACATTGTTTCATTATTCTTTTGAAAATGTCATCAGAGCAGAGTTCAAGCAGAATTTTGCCAGAAAATTTTTCATACATAATTTCACATATTTTTCTTCTAATTTTATTGTTTCCATAAAAAATTTCATACATCTTCTATATAGACAAAAACATTGTTTAATTTCAATTTTCTTCATATTTCAATTAATTACATCATTTTCCATAGGAAATTTCATTTGTAGCAAATATTGGATTGAGAAGAAAGTAATTTCCTTCATTTTCGTCATTTGATGTTACTTTTAGCAGGAGTACAAAATCGAACATTTTCGACGTACTTTACTTTATTATTTCCGTATAGGAAAGAAAGTCATAATTTAATAAGATTGTTATATAACTGTGCAGAGAGGAAACGTATCACAACTGAAAAACACTTAAATGTCTTAAATGAAGACAAATATTCACTTAACATAACGAATCAATATTTGCTTTTTTAAAATTAATCATTATTGGTGATGAAAAATAAATCATCAACATTTACATCAATCGAAAATGATCATGATCCAAGAGTTATTAACAAAACATATCTAAAGCTGAATAGCATCAAAAAAGTTCATGCTAACAATTTGGTGGATTACAAAAAAATGTTCAAAAGGAATCAAACGATCACCTAAGATATTTACTATCAACAACTAATGAAACTGAAGAAAGCAATCAAAGAAAAATGGCCATAATTGGCAACTCATATTCTAACAAAACAATGCAAATCCTTATACATTTTTTAGTAACTCGTGTAAAATTATTGGAGCTTGGTTGGAAATATATGCCTCACTTTATCCTGACCTTTAACCATTAGATTACCATTTCTCTTCAAGTTTGCAAAACTCTTTGAATGGCAAAACTTTTACTAATTATGACCTGAAATCTCACTTGGTTCAGTTTTATACTGATAAGAAGTAGAAATAAAGTTGCCAGAAAGATGACATAAAGTTATGCGACAAAATAGTAAATATGTAATTGATTTTAGTTCATTCTTTATATATACAAATTGAATTTTATTTTGAACTAAAACTCGAAATTTCTTTTTTGCCAACTCAATAAATAGTAATATTATTAATACTATTTTACTCCCAATTCAATTAAATTACATAATTTTCCATATAAATTTTTATATATCTTACTTATATATAAATAAATCATATTTTTTTAATATTACTCCTACTTCTATTCATTTGCATCATTTTCCATAGGAAATTTCATACGTCCTCTATGTAGAATAAATAGAATTTTTTATATGTTATATTACATCATTATGTACATGCAATTTCTCTAATAACTTCTATTTAGCGAATAATTTATATCATATTGTTAATATAGAAATAAATTGGAATTGTCATATTTTTTTTTATTATTTTTTATTTTACTCCTAATTTTATTGAATTACATCACCTATATGAGAAACCATTTCGAGCACGCTGATGGGACACTTTTTCTTGTACTTTTTGCAGTGCTTGTAGAATCTTCCATAATTCTCGGCGTTCTCATACTCGTGCAAACCCTCCGTTTTCGACGTCGACGGACTGAAATGATGATTGAAGCGTTTTAATGTGTTAATCTCGCAAATTACGTAACTCACGACAACATTATGTGAATTAAATCGGCGAGGACGCCGTTATGGTCCATGCTGTATTCAGCTGCCTCGCAAATACTTCTCAACAAACAAGGTTTCCCAGGAAAACCATTTCTAAAAATAACAAACACATTATTACAATTCATAAATGTTGTAGAAAACTTACGATTTTAACTTGAATTCGAAGGCGTTGTATACGAATTTCCTAGCAATATTGAAGGATTTTGATATAATTGGTGGATATTCCCATTCGGTTTGGTTTTGTGGTAGCACGTAGTTACCTTCGAAGTTGTACGAGAAGAACAAGTCTATATTGTCCACTTCTAATGGAAGAGCGAGTGCTATAAACAACTAGAATATGAACATCGTAAATGCTGCATTAAGCTTTAAATTGAAGTACTTACGCCCATGAAGGCGTCACCATATGGGAACCTAATGGGATTCCTGATGGATCCTTTTTCGCCGTCCGATTTCGTCCTTCTTAAAGTGCACGTCAGCAGCAGAATGCTTATTACACAAACGCGCGTTGAAATATGTTGCATTTTCTATATATTTTTTCTATGTTAATGGTTCAAGATTCTTGTTTTACTTTTTTGATCGTTACAAGAACTTGCGACACCTTCGTTTCACGCTTCGGAAAGATTATTTAGTTGAACGCTCTCGGTGTTAATTTATGTACCTGGACGTGTTAACAAGAGTTAACTGTTATTACATTTACGTCAGATTCTACCTGGATCCCAACGAATACCGAAAAAAAACCTAAATAATAATCATTCAAAAAATATATGTATGCAGTTTTCCAAAACATCTACACAATTTATTAATCTCCGCACAAAATTGAAGATAATCTAAATTTGTAATATTATTTATCTAAAATATGAAGTAAATTATAATTTCAAATTGTACATTTAATCATATCCAATGAATTTATTTCAAATGATTTGGTTCGTTGTTATTCAACTAAATTATATAATAATAATGGAAAATTCAATAATTAAAAATTCTCAATATTTTAACAAAAATGATGTAATATTGTTACGTTTGTTACGTTTAAATCATAATAATACAGTAATAATTTAACAATTTTGATAACAAAATTTAAAATAATTTACAATTTTAGCAAAAAAAAATCAATTTATTATTTATGTTCGTTTGTTATAAAATATTTGATTTAATTATTTTTTTGTCCATATTTCTTTATAAACATTAAAATTTTACTTAAAATGTAATTTTTAAACACATGTCTACCTAAGCAATATTCAAATGTCCATTAAATCGCAATATGAACTTAAACTAGAAAACGTACATATTTTATTATAAAATATTAATACATTTTAGATTTTTTATATTGCAATGTGTGAAACTGTCGCATAAATTACTTAAACCTAATTGATAACATTTGTTTATCAATTAATATTAGATGTATGTATTATCTAATATTCATTGTAAACTCAATAATTCCTTCACCTATAAATGGGTTATTACTCACGAGTAAATAAAAGTATAGTTTTTTGCTTCTCTTTTTTTAATTGATACATTGATTGATAATTTACTAAGATTTATTCAATATCATAAAGCGTTTCCGATCCAACTGAACATATTTAGGAAACTGATTTTACAAATTTTATTAAACTTTTCGCAATTTTGGGAAGCACCAAGTTTTTCTGCTTCAAAGTACTCTTTCGATATGCCTTCTTCGTTACTACTTGATGGTCTAAAACAAAACAAAAGAACGTGAAATCAATTACAAATGTGAAAAAAATATAAATTTAGCTTATTTTCATTCAAATTAATGCAGTTTAACTTATTTATAGAAGTGGAGACTCTTCTAAAAACTTAAGTAATCAATTATTTAGTAAAAAGTATCACAAAATTAAGAATTACACAAGTTTTCATGTTTTCCTAGAATTTAATTATTTTTTACCATTTCTTTGTTTAATACAGAAAAAAATATTGGAAACAATATTGGCTACTAATAAAATCATTGTTTTGTTAAATGCTAAAAAAATATTTCTATGTAGTTTTTCATAATTTTGCAAGATTTCATTTTATATTTCTCTAAACGAAATTGTATTGGATAAAATATTACAAACAAACATCATTGATCTTCATAAACAATAACAAAACATATGTTACATTTTGTATCAAGTTCTTACGTCAAAAGTACGTGTAGAAGATCGGCCAAAACGCCGTTGTGATCCATGGTGTGTGATGACGCCTCGCAGATGATTCTGAGAAGACAGCTTTTGCCCGGAACGCCATTCCTGCAATAGAAACGTTTCAATCGATCTCCACTAACCACAAGAGCAAACATACAACAAAGCCAATATTTATTAGTACTAACGAGCGATAATTACACCTTATCCAAACAACCGTATTTATGTACCTACACTCGCTATACCACCTTATTTTCTTTCTAAACAAAATCACGAAAACTAGATGTTTCATTCATTAACAAAAATAACTGTTGATGTTTTGGATTAATTATATTTTACACTAGATATTTCAAATTTCGAAGGCATTTTTCGACAATTATTAATATTGAAATTAAATTCCTAATAAAAATAACTGAAGATTAAAAAAAAAATAGTGGCTTTAATATATTTGATTTCAATATTTTTATTAGGAATTTCAAAATTATTAAATCTTACTATTTAGTTTTATTAATTAAAATTAAAGTTTTTTTATGATATAAAATTATTTAAATATTAATGACATTTAATTTATTTTATAATTAACTTTAATATAATTGTTAGAATCAAATCAATCTGCTATAATTCTTTTTATGTATAGGTAAATATTAGAGACTCACGATTTCATTTTGGTTTCGATTAAGTTGTATACAAATTTCCTGTTCAAGAATTTCGCTTCTCTTTCCAATAGAGGTGGATATTCTACAGCTGTCGCATTGTCAGGTAAATTAAAGTTAGCTTCAATGTTGTAGGCTACAAAAGAGTTCTTGTAGGGTTCTTCTAAAGGCAGAGCCAAAGCTAAAAGCAACTATAAAGAAAAAAATATACATATTTATAAATATATTGCAGTACAATGATTGATGAAAGTTTTAAACAAATGTCTTTATTTGATTAATTCGTAATTGAAAACCTTCTTACAAATGTTATATAATATATTGATTGTGTTTGTTAGGAGGTTTTCTTTCAAAATGGAAATTAACCATAAAAATATATAAATACATAAGAATAACATACATAAGAATAAAGAATGTCATCATAATTAATAAATTGAAAGTTTAGTTTAAAATTTATAATTTGTACAAATAGCAATGCTAATGTTTTAAGAAACTAATAGTAAAATAAAGTAAGCTTACCCCAATTGAACTTCCTTTAGTAAAATACACTTTAGCAGCTTTTAACGTTGCGTATTCATCGTCTGCAAGGTTTACGGTGATTAGTATGGAAAATATAATGCATTTTGCAAATTGTTTGACACTTTTAAGGTACATTTTTTTTGTATAACAAAACCGCACGAAAAAACGGAAACTTTCATTGAAGCACTGATTACGAAGTGTGAAACAAAGTCGTTTGGATATTTGACCGGCATTACAATTAACGGTACTCTCCATGGGCACTAATTAAGCTGCATGAAAAACAATTCCATCGTCCAATTTCCAATTCCCGGTATTCTAAATTTACTACATCAAAGGCAAACGCAAATATTCTTCAATTTACATAAGTTTAGGTATTTTACATTATTTTTATAATGCGCATAATGTGTAGCCATCAAAAATACTAAACTATAACTTAGAATTAACAAAAATTCATAAACAATGCATATTCACAACTATTACATTTATTTTTTTTACTTTATATAAATAACATTAAAATTCTTTCATAAAATTAATACAAATTTTCACAACTATAAATGAAACGGTTATTCTTGATATATTATATTATTAATTACGTAACTATAATTATCATGGAATTTATTTCAGTTAATAACACAATGACACAACAATGAATATTATTTTTTTATGAAAAGAGAAAACAACGGTCCCTTTATTAACGATATTAAATTCGTTCAACAAATACACACAAACAAGTAATTTGCTCTAATTGGAATATGAGAAAATAAAAACAAAAGAAAAACGCGCACGAGAACGTATTCACCCTGGGGTTGACTTTTTACATAATGAAACGGTAATTTCCTGTCATATAGCGAACTTCAGTTTCACCAACACTTTCCAATCATTAAGCTATGCGTGAGCGTTATTAAAATAAAGTAATTAAGGACGAGAAGAAAAAAACAACGATAGATTACATAACCATAGGATAAGCATTATTTCACTCTAGTTCAAAATGTGGAACTGTAACGCGAAAACGAACATCAGGTCCATACAAACGTTGCATACGTTATGCAAGACAATGGCTATTTTACCACCTGCAAATTTATGCAGCGTCGAGGATTATAAGCGCAAGTATTTGTACGGATCTGCAGTTGCTTGCTTTCTCCTGTTATCCTATGTCTTCACGACATACGGAAAGTTCGTTTACATGAAGGAATCTATGACGGTCACCGGATTCCTGATTGATATTGGATCGGATTTAACATTGATCATGGCCAACCTCATCTCTATCGTGGGTATCAACTTGATGAACGGAAGTACCGTCTGCATATTTTTAACTAACATGAAGAAAATAGACTGCGAGTTCCAGTATCTACCCAGTGATTGTAAGCATTCCAACATGAGGTTTGTAATGGAAATGATACTAATACATATCTATATGATCATCTTTATTGCGTATAACGTATACACGTGGGTGAGCTCCTTGGGATGGGATACGTACATATACTTCTGCCTCAGAGACTTCCAGAACTATTACATCATCGTGTTGGCAATACTCATGAGGAATTACGCATACGCCATCAAATATAGGATGGAAGTATTGAATGGGATTTTAACGAGAAGAGAATGGACGCAGAGTGACAAGATTTGCATCGCAGATTATTCAGGATGCGTCTCAGCTAATTTAAAGACAAAACCCCATTGGACTTTGAAGAAGATCATCAAGCAGTTCACGAATTTGACGAATCTGATTGATATGTATAACACGATCTTCGGTTGGCAATTCGTTAGTCTTTACGTAGTTATCGTGATAAACCTCTTGCTTCCTATAAACTTAGCCTTGATCTATGGATCAGGAGACAAGGATATAAATGGATTTAAATATGGATCTGAACTGGTTGCTCTTTGCATAATGTGGGCATCTTTACCAATTGTAATTATACCAATCTTAATCATATTTGAACATTCCTTACTTTTATCATATATTTACTGTTATAGATCACAGCTATTGCCATTTTCTCAGCTTGTAATCATGCAACTGAAAAGATAAGGCATACTTCAGTGATAGCCTACAACCTTATCCAAGAGCTTGGAGAAGCTCCCAATGATATGAATTACAAGCAGGAATTGCAAGAACTGGCGGAATTGGCTACCAATAAATGTCCATCATTCTCAGCAGCTGGATTTTACACGGTTAATTACAGCGTTTTGTTTGGTTTAGTTGGATCCATCACTTCATATCTGATTGTCCTAATTCAATTTAATAAATAAACAACGCAATCCATTATAAATTACATTCAAATTCTTTATTTAAAATATTTTATATTCACAAGTAGTGCGTAGTATATATTGTATTCGTTATAGTTATGAAGTCAAAATATTTTGTAAGATAATTATAATGGAATTTATTCCAGATAATTACCAAATTCGATCTATTTAACTATTAAAGTGAAAGCACATACTAATATTTATGTAAACTTTTTTATTCATGCGAAGGGAAAGCCGTCTATTCATTAACGATATTAAAATCGTTCAACAAATACACACAAACAAACAATTTGCTGTAATTAGACTAAGAGAAAAGAAAACAAAACTACCAAAAACTGAACAAATATAAACGCGCATAAAAACGTAAGCACATTGGGGTTGGCATTATTAATAATGAAATGTCGGCGAATTGAACAGTAATTTCTGGTTGCACTCGCATTTTATAGCGAACTATAGTTTTATCAAAAGTTTCTGATCAGTAAACTGTGCATGTGCGGTATTAAAATAAAGTAATTAAAGAAAAAAAATAAAACAACGATAGATATAAATTACGTAGCAGTCAGTTAAACATTGTTTCAGTCGCGTTTAAAATGTTGAACTATAACGCGAAAACGAACATCAGATCAATAGAAACATTGCACACGTTATGCAAGACAATGGCAATTTTACCACCTGTAAACTTATGCAACGTCGAGGATTACAAGAGCAAGTATTTGTACGGATCTACAGTTGCTTGTCTTCTTCTGTTGTCCTATGCCTACACGACCTATGGAAAGATCGTTTATGTAAGGAAAACCATGACGATAACCGGATTCCTGATTGACGTTGGATCGGATTTAACCTTGATCCTGGCCAACCTCATATCTATTGTGGGTATCAACTTGATGAACGGAAATACAGTCAGCATCTTCTTAACTAACATGAAGAAAATAGACTACGAGTTGCAGTATCTACCTAGTGAATCTAAGCATCTCAACATGAGGTTTGTAATGGAAATGATACTAATTCACATCTACATGATTATCTTCTTTACGTATAATCTATGCATGTGGATGAGCACCTTGGGAATGGATATCTACAAGTTCTTCTTTCTGAAAGACTTCCAGAACTATTACATAATCGTGCTGACAATGCTTTTGAGGAATTACGCATACGCCATCAAGTACAGGATGGAAGTACTGAATGGGATCTTGGCGAGAGGAGAATGGACGCAGACTAATAAAATTTTGGTCGCTAATTATTCAGCTAAATTAAAGACGAAACAGAATTGGACTTTGAAGAAGATCACCAAGCAGTTCACAAATCTGACAAATCTGATTGATCTGTACAACAAAATTTTCGGTTGGCAATTTGTTAGTCTTTACATAGTCATAGTGTTCAACCTATTGCTTCCTATTAACTTAGCCTTGATCTATGGATCAGGAGAAAAGGACATCGACGGATTTAAATATGGATCTGAACTGGTTATTGTTTGCATAATGTGGGCGTCTTTACCAATTGTAATTATACCACTTTTATGATTTTTTGATATCTCTTACTTTGATCATTTTTTTACTGTTTCAGATCACCGGATTTGCTATTTTCTCTGCTTGTAATCATGCAACTGAAGAAATCAATCAAACTTCAGTGATCTCCTATAATCTTATCCAAGAGCTTGGAGAAGCTCCCAACGATTTATATTACAAGCAGGAATTACAAGAACTGGCACTATTAGCTATCAATAAATGTCCAACATTCTCAGCAGCTGGGTTTTTCACGGTTAATTACAGCGTGTTGTTTGGTTTAGTTGGTTCAATAACTTCATATCTTATTGTCTTAATTCAATTTAATAAATAAACAACGCAATCCATTATAAATTGCATGCAAATTAAATTTTTAATATATTTTATATTCACAAGTTCTTGGCGAGTAGTATATATCGTATCTTTTATGTTTGTGATGTAAAAATAATTTGTTTCAGATAATGACCAAATTCTATTTCTTTAAATAATAAATAAACACATGCACATACTAGTATTTATGTAAACATTTTTGTTCATACAAAGGGAAAACCGTTTAAGGATATTAAAGTCGTTCAACAAATACACACAAACAAACAATTTGCTGCAATTAGAATATGAGAAAACAAAACAAAAATACAAAAACTGAACAAAATAAAAACGCGCATAAAAATGTAAGCACATTGGGCTTGGCTTTGTAAATAATGAAATGTCGGCGAACTGAACAGTAATTTCTAGTTGTACACGCACTTTATAGCAAAATACAGTTTCATCAAAAACCTCTCATCATTATGCTATGCGTGTGCTTTATTGAAAAAAGTAATTAAGTAGAAAAAATAATGTAAATTACGTAACAGACGGATAAGCATGGTTTCAGTCGCGTTTAAAATGTTGAACTACAACCCTAAAACGAACATCAGATCCTTAGAAACATTGCACACGTTATGCAAAACAATGGCGATTTTACCACCTGTAAACTTGTGCAACGTCGAGGATTACAAGAGCAAGTATTTGTACGGATCTGCAGCTGCTTGCCTTCTCCTATTTTCCTATGTTTACACAATCTATGGAAAAATCGTTTACGTACAAAAAACCATGTCGGTAACTGGATTCGTGATTGACGTTGGATCGGATTTAACATTGATCGTGGCCAACCTCATCTCTATCGTGGGTATCAACTTGATGAATGGAAATATCGTCAGCATCTTCTTAACTAATATGAAGAAAATAGACATCGACTTCCAGTATATACCCAGTGAATCTAAGCATCCCAATATAAGGTTTGTAATGGAAATGGTACTAATTCACATCTACATGATCATCTTCTTTACGTATAACCTATACACGTGGATGAGCACCTTGGGAATGCATATCTATAAGTTCTTCTTTCTGAAAGACTTCCAGAGCTATTACATTATCGTGCTGGCAATGCTCTTAAGGAATTACGCGTACGCCATCAAGTATAGGATGGAAGTGCTGAATGGGATCTTGACGAGAGGAGAATGGTCACAGACTAACAACATTTGCGCTAATTATTCGGGATCAGCCTCAGCTAAAATAAAGACGAAACAGCAATGGACTTTGAAAAAAATCACTAAGCAGTTCACAAATCTGACAAATCTGATTGATCTGTACAACAAAATCTTCGGTTGGCAATTCGTTAGCCTTTACATAGTCATCGTGTTCAACCTATTGCTTCCTATAAACTTAGCCTTGATCTATGGATCAGGAGAAAAGGACATCGACGGATTTAAATATGGATCTGAACTGGTTATTGTTTGCATAATGCGGGCGTCCTTACCAATTGTAAATATACCACTTTTATGATTTTTTTAACATCTCTCACCTTTATCAAATTGTTACTGTTTCAGATCACAGCTTTGGCCATTTTCTCTGCTTGCAACCATGCAACTGATGAGATAAAGCTTACTTCAGTGATCTCCTACAATCTTATCCAAGAGCTTGGAGAAGTTCCCAACGATTTAAATTACAAGCAGGAATTGCAAGAACTGGCACTATTAGCTACCAATAAATGTCCATCATTCTCAGCCGCTGGTTTCTTTGCGGTTAATTACAGTGCTTTGTTTGGTTTGGTTGGATCCATCACTTCATATCTCATTGTTCTAATTCAATTTAATAAATAACAACGCAATTTATCATTACCATATAAATATTTGCAATAACTATTATTTCATTATTAAGTAATCAAAAAAAAATATTAACAAAAACATATTGATTAAACTAGCACGTGTTTTTTTCGCTTTCATGTTTTTTGTAAAATATTATTAATTTATTGATTCTTCATTAATTACAATTGAATGCAATCAATTACAGTAATTTATTAATTTAATATTCTTATACAGTTTAATTTTATGTAATTATGTAAAAAAATATAAGTATTCATAATAAATAAATAATTTAACTTATTAATATTTAATAAATATTTTAACTTACCTTTGTGAAACATTATTATAGCAAAACTTACATGTATTGGCCAAAGGGCTAAAGATTATTGAAGTTGTTTAAAATTCAATCAAAATGTTTACAATGAAAATTAGTGATAAAACACTACTAACAAAAAATTAACTATAAAATAATACTTAAATATTTTATATGAGTAATGTATCATAAAAAAATATTGTCAAAAAGAAATTAGGAGATTTCAAAAATCTAAGAAAAAAAATCTTTAAGTGTTTGTACTAAGGTAATGTGTGTTTTGTTGTTTTTATACGTAATAAACATATTGTTTATTATTAATTATTAATTACTATTTCTACATTGCATTGTTATCATCACATCAATTTTGATCGTTTTTGATGATTGTTGTAACGATCAATAATGATAGATATCATTTTAACTATTCGGAACAAAAAGTGACACTAGTAATTTATATTCAGATGCAATTAGTTATTCCTGGTGTAATTACAATGAGAATTACAATCAACTGAGAACAGACACACCAAATTCTATATTCCATTACTTTCGGGGCGTGACAAAATAATTGGTGTGTATGTTTGTTGTGCACTTGGAATAAAACTTTATTTATATATAATATCTCATATAGTTACGGACACGCAACTCGTTCCGATAGTTGGAATCTTCCAAGTAAATGCGAAATAAGTGGTGGTTGTGTTAACGCCTGCTCTGGACGTAATCATCTAAGAATATGAATCGCGTGAGAAGAGACTCGGATCGTAGGTTGGATATAGAATGGATTACACCTTTGAACAACATATGCAAAGCTCTTGCCATTTTACCTCCAATCAGTTTAAACACACCTCTAAAAGATCCTTGTTTCTTGCATCGTCTTTACGCAATATTTGTGATCATAGTGTTCATCGCCACCTTCACGTTTGATACTTACGGGAAAATAGTCTTCATAAAACCGTTGATCGTTCCGATCGTTCACATCATAGACTTGGCCACGGACTTCTCCCTAATCGTTGCCAATTTAAGTTCAATCATCTTAATCAACGTCCTCAATCGCAATAGATTCGCACGATTCTTACACTCTTTAAGTAGAATAGATGAGCAATTAACAGAACCAAGAACAAACTACAAGATGAAATTCTATCTGGAACTATCACTTGCTCATATCTTCATCATAGTGTACACCACATACAACATGAACAATTGGTTTCAAACTTTGGGCGTTACCATCTTCAAATTCTACATATTTCGCGATATTCAGAATTACCAAGTGCTAATATTGTCTATGCTTCTGAGGAACTACGCTATTTTGATTAAGCGAAAGTACGAAGCCATAAATGATTTGTTGATGTCGCACGTTTGGAAACCCAAAGCAATGATGTTAATTTCCGATTTCGGAAGTGTATTAAAACAACAAAAGCAGCAAATTGACGAGTGGAATTTGAAGAAAATCATAAAGATTTTTACAGAACTGAGCTCCTGCGTCGACGAATATAACGAACTTTTTGGTTGGCAGTTCGTTGCTCTCTATATAAACATAATCATCTATTTACTCCTCACCATATGTTTATCTTTTTTTTATTCGGATGGATCAAATGAAATTGCTGGAACCACCTTCGGATTAAACTTACTTATACTTTCCATATTATGGTTATTATTACCAATTGTAAGATTACCAATTTATATATACCAGTTTTTTAAATTTCTGTTTCTATTCTAGATGATGAGTATTTTTATTTTTTCGGGTTGCGAGTCTGCAGCCAAGGCAGGAAACAGGACATCAACCATTTGCTATTGCTTGCTACAAAATCTATCTAAAAATAAACTTGATACAGAATATAAAAAGGATTTATTGCTGTTAGCTAAGCAAGCATGTGATAGACGTCCTAGGTTTACAGCTGCAGGATTCTTTGACGTTAGCTACAAGGTGTTATTTACAATGTTCGGATCTATAATGACTTATTTATTGGTAATAATTCAATTTAATGAATGAAATAAAGATCAACATTAAATAAACAAAAAGTATTATATATATTATTTTCATGTGACATGATGAAGTTTTGCAATAAATAAACAATTATCGTTGGTTTTACTTTCCAATTATACATAATTATGTTACTGTAGCAATCTAAACCTTGAGTTGAAAAAGATTAGCAACAACGACATATAGAGTTACCTGGATATGATATAACATGTGTCAAGTCATAACTTAAAAACACTTGAAAGAGTTTTTATATATAATATTTTTTACAGCTAATTCTACTTACTTTAGGATACATTTTGACGCGTTAGATTACTAATTGTGAAGCAAATCTTAACCTAACCAAACACTGACCTAACCAAGATAGAGTTTTTTAATGGTGAATCGATCCAACCAAATCTAACTTTATATAAACCAAAACAGAAACTCAACCTAACCAGAATACAATGTGATTTTCTTTTTCCATGACATAACCAAACAATATCAAATTAAGATAAGTAAATCTGACTACATTTCATGAAATCGAAGCCTAACCTAAAAATAAAGTCACCATAACATAACTAGAATATAGAGTGAAAATTAACGTTTTTGTTCATAGTCTAACCCAGAGGTTCCCAAACTTGTTTGTGTCGTAGACCCCTTGCCATGTTTTTCAGTTTTGGGTGGACCCCCTACTTACCTGATATTAATTTTTTGTAAATTCTAAAATAGTCTCAAAAAGTGCAAAAAATCTTGTCAAACATAAGCCTTTCGACAGCCAGCGTACTTCAGTGTGAAGGAGTAATTGATGAAAGTATTCAACGCGTTGCTTCGGATTCGGTTTACTGCATCAAAGACTAATTGAAAAGATTCATACAATCTAACACTCAAATTTTTAGCAACTAAATAATGTATATGTCTTTATATTATAAGATAGTATAATGTAAGTAAATAGGTACTATCAGTGTACGCTGAGATCCACTATCGTGGACCCCCATTTTAATTTCATGAACCCCCGAATTTTTTTTTCGCAGACGTAGACCCCTTGCAAGTTGTCATAGACCCCTGGGGGTTGATATAGACCACTTTGGGAACTAACAAAGACAACATAACCTAAACAAGCTAAATGTAACTTCACTTCTTAAAGTCGATGCTTGATTTAAACAAATTTTACTTAACCAAAAGAGAAAGTCATTCTAACCTAACCAGAATTCAGTGTGAAGATCAACGTTTTTGTTGGACTGGCTACATGCACCCCGTTGTGCGAGCTAAGTTGCATACTTTCACTCCTTCGGAGTGGAAGAAACAGAACAGAACTTAACCTAAACAAGAAAGAAAGTCATCCTAACCTAACCAGAATACAGTGTGAAAATCAATGTTTTTATTGATAGCCTAACCCAGCGTTTTCCAAACTGTGAGGCGCGCCTCCCTGGGGAGGCGTGGACTAGTCTAAGGGGAGGCGCGAATATTAGTAGCAGTGAGCAATGTTCCAAATATCTGCAAAAGTATAGATACATTCCTGTGCTCTTATCCATATTGCTGTAATACGCGTTCAAAGTTGAGAAATTGAAATTAGAACTATTTACTCGAAAACTATAATATTTGTAAATCCAGCAAGTATAGATACATTCCTGTGCTCTTATCCATATTGCTGTAATACGCGTTCCTTTTATGAAATGGAGGGGGGTTGGGAGGCGCCAAATGATTACATACTTTTGAGGGAGGCGTAGTAACATGAAGTTTGGAAACCACTGGCCTAACCAAACAAAGACAACATAACCTAAACAAGCTAAATCTAACTTCATTTCTTGAAGTCGATGCTTGATTTAAATAAATTTAACTTAACCTAACCTAAACAGAAAGTTAAACTAACATAAGTAGAATAAAATGTGAAAATCAAAGTTTTTGTTTCATGGCTTAACCTAATAAAAAGCTTAAATCTCACTTCGTCAATTATTATATTTTATTTGTGATAAAGCGAATCCTAACATAACCAAATGTACTTAATTAATCTATAGCAACAAAACCATAATTTTAATTTTCAAATGACAATAATAACAATAATCTAAAGTAATTTTTATTTTCGTTTTTCTCACGATTAATTTCAATAAAATTTTATATTTTTTTATATTTAAGGACGGTAATAAAATTAAATAAATACAGTATAAAATTCGATATCTCATAATAATTCCATTTGTAATGGCATTCAAAGTAATTCACGGTGAATTGCGTTTAATCTAATTCCTGGGTGGCAGCAAAAGTTTTATTATTCCATTTTGTAAGGTATACACAGCATTAAAATTTTATGATTACAATCTCCCATGGAAAAAAATTACGAATATAAACACTCCACTGAGTAGATACACACGAGAAGTCAAACATCTCATTTCCCAATGAAATCTTTAATTAATAATAAAACGACCTAACATCGATGGATTCCAATAAACCCGTTCGCACTGCGATAATTTCTTTTACAAACACCGAGTCGGTACATTTTCGGCATCGAAAACAGTTATTTGATAGTATTGAGAGACGAAGAAACATGACTGATTTGGATGAAATTACGTTGAATAAATTCTGCAGGATATTGCTGATCTTACCTAAATTAGATCTTAAGAAGCCATATCGACAAACGTATTTAAGAGCAATTTTAATGATTATTGTACACATTTGCATATTTCTTGCAACGATTTACTTCAAGAACACGAATCTCCGACAAATCCTGGTAACTTCTCTCTATTACATAGATTTAGT